ATTGTTTTGCCGTTTGTAGTTTATAACCCCAACGGGAACGAAGTGGCAACTGATATTGGTTATAATGATATCCCAATAAACCATCGTATAAGTCTTTAATTATTTGTAAATTTATGTTAAATGGCTTGTCTTTGTCACTGGAATCATAACCATCATGTAATTTTCAAGCCAAATATAATAAGTTATACAGATGTGGTTTTCTTGAGAATCCAGTACTGTTAGAGAGTGCACTAAACACTTCTTGCTCAAAGTGGTTCATAATAATTTGAATAATATGAAGCCCACAACCAATTTGCAAAGAATTTCCATTAGTTTTTCTGTTAAATAGGGCAACGGCACCTTTCTTATCACATGACATATACGACATATTGTCTGTCGTCCATATTGTACACTTTTTAACATCCAAATTACATTCGTGGATGTGCTTTATTACAACATCTGATATCGTATTTGCATTGCATTTAATAATATGTTGCAATTGTGCAACTATTACACTAGGCAGTTGATCGTTTTCATTCCAATATTGATAACAAAGAATTAAATTTTTTTTTTGTCCTCGTATCGATTCATCAATCATAATTCCAAAGGTTAAAGCATTTCTAATTTGATAAATTTGATCCTTAAATTGTACCTCTGAAACGTCTTGGTGCCATGTTTGTAAAGTTGATGTCGATAACTAATCCCAAGGTGATTCTCCTACTAGAAATTCATAAACTAACCGCATGGATTCAACAGTTGAACATAGTGACATCTGACCAACTTGTAAAACATTTGTAGCAAGCCAAATGGTATTTGATGAATAACAATTTTTATTGGGATTAAAAATTGTTTTAACTTTCTTACAAAATTTTTCATTAGTAATTTGGTGAGATTGTCAAACTAACGAATGAATTTCTACTATATGTTTAGATTTTTGATCACGTGAATATTGAGCTTTCGCTCCAAGTGATTGAGTTCGTTTGAGAAGTTTTTGATTTTTTTGACCAAGTTTTTTATTTTTTTTTCAAGTCTTAAATTAGAATCTTGTAATGAAAAATAATCCGACTTGGATTTATAAAGACTTTGAACTATATAATTATGTGTCTTTTTTTGTAAGTATGGTGAAATTAATTTTCCTTTGTTTGGACCCTTCGGATATCGCATAATAGAAATAAGACTATTTGCAGAAGGTAATTCTTCCTCAGGTAACTGCCGTATAGTTGAAATTAATTGTGTTCTTTGTGAACATTCGGGTTCCTCTTCTTGTTCCTTGAGTTGTTTTTGATGTTTTATAAAACGTGCATTTTTTAAATGAAACCGGCGTTTATATGACTTATAAATACCCATATTTTTTGGGTTTAATTAGATGTACAGTTCTAACGGCACATAATTCCAAAGCAAAATTTTGAGAAAATCAATAATAAGTTCCATAGAACAAAGCTATAGAACAAAATTTCTGCTTTGATCAAAAAAAAACTTACCAATTAATTTAAAAGTTGTACAAACAACTGAAAAAATCATGTAATTCAAATATGTGCGAGAAAAAAAAAAAATCTTTCATAGATAATTTTAAAAAAGACTCTATAGCTTTATTATTGTGATAAGAAAGAGTTGATTTATAATAAAACTTTTGTCAGAAAGAAAAAATTACAATCCGTGCATCTAAAAAAAGCGTGATCCCAATTTTATATTAAGAACATATTAAATTATTTTATCATTTGACAATCACCTAAAATCTGTCATAATTGACTTTTATATAATACCACATATAGTTTTGATTTATATAGTGCACAGTGCACCCCAATATGACATTGTTTCTGTTGTTGTTATTGCATATTTGTGTAACATTATCACAATTAAATAAACAATGTTTTCACTATATATATATCTTATTTCTAGTATTTTTGTTTTCTCAAGCCCTTTCTATCCTTTGCCCGCTTTGAATGGTCCGTTTAGCCAGTGCTTTGATTCTGCTGAGGCTTTGAGTAGTACACGTTGGTTACGGTTTGAATCCAGCTAATGGCTTTTTAGGTGTGAAAGGGCTACTACCCGGTTCTTTTGAATTGTAAGTTATTGTACAAAATATTTTGTTTTTTTTGTTTCTTTTTTTAATATATTTGCTAATTTTATTTTTTATTTTTTTTTCTTTAAGCCTTTTCTTTTTTTTCGTGTGCTTGCTTTGAGTAGTCCGTTTAGCCAGTGCTTTGATTCTGCTAAGGCTTTGATTGGTGCACGTTGGTTATGGTTTGAATCCAGCTTTTTGGTATGCATTGAGTTTGAAAGGTTTCAAAAGAACCTTTCTACTAACCAGATTCTTTTGAATTGGTAAGTTACTATATGAAAATATTTTTGTTGTTTTTTTTATATTACATACGGTTTATTGTTTATTTTTATTTTTTTGCTAACTTTATTTATTTATTTTTTAAGCCTTTTCTTTCCTCCCGTGTGCCTGCTTTGAGTGGTCTGTTTAGTCAGTGCTTTGATTCCGCTAAGGCTTTGATGGTGCACTTGGCTACGGTTTGAATCCAGCTGTTTAGTACACGTTGGTTTGAGAGGTTTCAAAGGAGCCTTTTTTTCTTTTTTTTTTTTTAGTGCTAGGTTTTATGGATTTCTTTGTTTTTTTTTTTTACACATATAATAAAGTGGTATTATATTACTCATTTATGTATTATTCTTGTCATTAAACTTATCATAACTAATTAGAATGTTATCTATATATAGGACCTGGTTAAAAGGATATGCCTCTACGTGGCGACCAGGACAAGTAAACTTAGTAGCTGAAACCAAATATCTTGTATCTTTTGTATTGTTAAATTTTAGTATATTGTCACTAAATTTTACAAAATGTTAATTCGAATAATAAAAATAACTTTAGAATATATACAAAATAATTTAATTGTTAATCTTGAATTAGAAACGATTTTATACATGAAGATAATATTAGTATATCAGTTTTGGAAACTTGAAAAAAATTAGTTACTATTATTTTGCGTGCTATAAAGTTTTTCAATTTTTCAAGTTTTTATGAAATCATATGAGTGATAATATTTTATATTTTAATGTTAAATTTGTAAGTACTTGTTATTGATTGATATGGGCAGAATGATAATAAAGTGTACGGATTCTAAAATTTGGTCAAATATATATTCTATATTTTTTTTTGTTAGCCCAAAAAATATTACTTTATAAAATAAACATGTTTAATGTCTGCTATCTATTATAGATAGACCATAGCTAACGTCTAAACTTATAGAAGAAATTTATAGTTTAGTGTACCATTCGTTAGTCACAGGTAGTGTTTGTCATCTGATTTTCCAAAAATCGACTTAGTTTGATTTATGTTAGATTATATTAAAGTATATACTAAATTTTAAATATCAACTTAGTCAGGTCGATAAATAAGGATCGACTACAAACACTAGTCACAGGAATAAATATTATCATCATCAATGATGATTATTGGTTTTTTCTTTCTGTCTGTTTCGCTTTTGAATTTTTAATATTACCATTTTTTTTCCCTTCCTTTTGGCCAGTCCAAATAATTTTTTAAACCTTCAGGCATCAATTTCCAAATAAATTGTGTAAGATTATTGGAAATTTGTCAATTGGACATATGTAAAATTGTCCAATAATTTTATTGGACAATTTTAATAATATGACGACAAAAGCTTTGTTACAATAATGACGTTTATCAATTTTATTTTTATTTCATATAAACTTTTTTTACTCTAATTTACTAATAAATGTTTCTAATTCAAAGTGTCAACCTTGACTAATTTATTTTATCTAGTGAGTTTTTCTTTCATAATATGCCTTTATTTTAAAAATTAAAAATAAAATTAACTGTTGTTATTATTATTTTTGAAATACAAATCATTTAACAGTTTCTAACCTTCTGTTTAATTATTCATATTTCATTAGGGCAATACCAAATATATATTTTTTAAACAGATATCATATATTTGCGACACAGATCATCCAATCAAATTTTAAGATCAAATGTGGTAACAAGTAATGTAAAAACCATTTTATCAACACCCCAATTATCTTATATGACTCCAATTCGGATTCATTTTGCGAAACACTAATTAAATAACCTACTTTAACCTTTTTTTTTTGCAGTTCACAAATTTAAAGTGTGAAATAAACAAAATTTTTTTAAGGCAACCCAATTTTATTTGAATATCAAAATTTCTAAGTATATAGATTCTACTCATTTTATATAATCTTTATCTTTTTTTTTCATTATATTTTATATTATGCTTTAAATTTTCTAAACATAATATTAAATATATCAAAGCACTTTTTGTTGTAAAGACCAAAACTTCATTAAAATATTATGATTTAGAATCACAGTACGTATTCTAAAGATTATGATAGAAATAATTTCATATTATTTAAAAGGCATGTCGTGGTTAATTTATTTCTATAAATAAAATATTTTTTATAAGGCCACACAAAATACATGGATTTCAAAATCAATGGTCGGTCAGTAATTAATAGACTCATGTTCATATTTAAGGCTACGCAAAGTTACTAGATACTCTACCTATGATTTTACAGTATTATATTGTTCATTTCTCATTTATTATCAACACCGGCGCTAATTATTTCTACATATGATCATTTTGTTATGCGATTTATGTACATGACAATAATCATGAAAACCTTCATTATAATTCATTATAATTCCAAAATATTATAGATAAACAGATCATAACGATAATTAAGAACTGGGATTAAATCGCCATATGATGTGTCAATTTTATTTATCGATTTAATGTAAAAATGAGTTCTAATTTTGATAGAAGAGGCAGTGTTGCAAGTTCTCATAGTACCAAGAGTTTAAATACGTCAGATTTGCAAGCGCATTTGCTTTACACAGAATAAGCGTATTTCTGGGTTATCCAGACAAGATGGGTTATAGAGTGTAAGTTGGTTTTCTTCACAGTTAATCGTTTTAATACATGAATTTGAGCATATAATAAAATTTTTACTCTATATTAGAAAGAATATTCACGATGTTTCTTCAAGCACTCGGATTGAGACATATTAGACGAGGTTTTGACACGTAAGAATTAATTCGTTGTGTGATATGATTATATTTTTTTTATCCATTCTTATAATTTATTTTATAATTGGCTTATCTAAAGGTGCCACACAGCGCCTTGGAGAATACAGTATCAGCCTGACACTGAATCCACTTCGAAATTTTTTGAATTAGTTCACATTGCTGATTTGATACAACAAATGGTTGAAATATGCTATGACGAAGAAATGGTATTAACTAATAGGGGGTTTCAGACTTAAGGTTCAGGTTTCTGATTTCGAATTAAATTAGTGACGTATTTATTTTGAAATCAGAGATTTATAAATCCTATTTATTTTTATTTGCAAGCCTATTTATATAATAGATATAATATACATCATTAAAAAAAGTTTGTTTATTTTATCTTCGGACAATTCCTTTTTCATTTTCTGATTTCGAAATTTCAAAACAAAAATAGGACTTTTCAAACTCCCATTTATTTTCAAAATAAGTTAACTCTGAAACCCCCTAATGTCAACATTTGATACCACTGTGTTAAAATTTGACGATTTGGCTAATATTTAATCAATTTAAATATAGAGCGATAAACCAGATTTCTTTAATATTTGTATTAAGGAGAAGAAAACATTTGAAAAGAATCTTGATGAAAGCGTAGCAGCTGGTTTGAACAAAGGTATTCAGGCGGGTTTTTCGTATTTTGATAAATAAATGTATTTTTGATAGAAGTTTATAAATGTATTATTTTTTGTAGGTCCTTATTGATCACGTGGAATTTGTACTAAGCAGATCTGAAGAGTTTAATCCTCCAATAAACACGCCACTAGATTTAAAACCTACAAAGGTATTCATTATTTGCCTACATTATAACCTATCTATATATTTACTTTTAATGAATGCTGTTTAATTAAAAGGCATATGTACATGCGGTAGAGTGTCTTTCATCACATGCTAAACTGGTAATTGGCTGTTCAGAAAGAATACCCTGGATGCGTTCTCGGGATTAGATTTTTTGGGTAAAGTATTTATCGACCCGTAAAATTAATTTATGATAATTTAATATAGATCATTAATAAAACATCTGAAAGTTTACCGTAAACATTAACGATGGTTTCCGAAAAATATTAATCGTTTGATATTTCAAATTGTCAAAAAAAAAATAATTGCTTAAATTGGTTTTATCAATCAATCAAGTGATTTAAACCATTATTACTCTTTCGCCATCTCTCTTAAACAACCAAGCGTCACTTCGTATTTTATTGCCCTTAAAAAACTTTGGAATATATATATTATTTCTAATGCACGTGATGTCGGGTCATTCGTATTTTATTGCCCTTAAAAAACTTTGGAACGTATATATTATTTCTAATGCACGTGATGTCGGGTCATTCGTTAGGAAGGCAGGAAGATTTAAGGGTTTTTTCCTTGCTGAAGTTTGAGTTCTGCCAAAAAAGTGAAGATTGGCTTGCAATTAGGGATGTTAAATTACAGTAATTTTACGTAAGGCTGTGTAAGATTCGGTAAATTGAAATTACATGTAATTGTAATTTTGAACACACGATATTTAGTTTCTGATATCAAATTTTCGGCGATTTAGAAGTTACGTTTCGGATCGTACATTC